GTCAATCACAGCCCAGGGCTGTGCGCGTGTCTTCATCGATACTATCTTCCGACTTCACGTGTTATCCCGTGAACTCGTGTCTAACAGGGCCCTTCGCTTCACAGCGAAGTTCTAGCAATCCACGTTCGATAACTTGGAACATGGTCAAAGATATATATTCTGACCATCCTGAAAGGGATGGTCAGACAGTATGCCTCCACCGCGTTCTTGAAGAGATACGTCGAGATTATGTTTACTCGTTTATGAGTTGGAGTAAATACTTGCCGATGGCAAAATTGCCACCAACAATTCGGTGCCTGCGTCGACAACGCATACACCGTTCTTCTTAAATATCCTACGCCATCCACGTTTACCTGCCTTCTTGAAGTACGACGTTAGTTTAAGAGGGGGGGGGGGGGTGGACTCGCTCGAACAAAAACCGATCTGGTTCTTGCTCATCACCCGTCGACTATGGTGTCGACGTGATGGATGGCGATGTCGATGCGATCGATATTGATGATGATGATGATGACGATGCTGGTATATTCAGCATCGCCAATGACTGCCAAAGTGAGGATGATGACACCCTCACTGGTAAAGACAACGTTCTTTAAACAGTGCACTTTGTGCGCACTGCTGCAAACAAGAATGAGCCAGCTGAGGAATTTCCGCTGACCCGCGAAGCGGTTGTCCGCTTCGTTCAAGACTCTACTGCTGATGCACTAGGCAGACAGAAAAGAATTGCATACAAACATGGAAGAGTAAGTTTTCTTTTATTTGATAAAGGAGACTTGGCTTTACCGTCAAGAGTCTAACTACAAAAAGGGCGGTGGCTAACGTGGGTAGCAGTAAATCACTGCCCAAGTGTGTCGGTCCATTCGTGTGTTGCGCCGAATGGAAAACGCATACACGATTTAACTGCCCCGTACGATACGCACGAATCCTACGTTTTACGCCGGTCCTCTCCGCCCGTACTATCAGAACGAGCCCGTTTCGAGAGGCGAAGATTACCTTCGCGGTCAAGGACCGAGACCACCTTCGAGTGGTCCCTTTTCAACGAGCCAGTCTGGTCGACTAGCAAAGCGACCTGTTCACGCAGTCGAGCGACGTCCTGAAGCGCTGCAGTCAGCTCGTCACGAAGACAATAAATATGGGGTGATTTCTCAAGTTGCGCGAACGCAAAAGCGGCACAATCGTTCGATTGATCGTACGTTAGGGAATTGTAATAATCCCTTACAAGATCCTCAAGCCCATAACGCCCAGTCCGTTCAGGAGCCAAGTCATCTTGCAACTGTTCCGTGACACGGTTGAGCTCTTGAACATCAAGCTGATCCGACCCTCGAGCCGGATCAGGTGTTTCCGCTTGAGTCCACCGCATCCTTTGGTGGACTCAAGCGGTGTTCAACGCTTTCTAGTGGAGCGTATTTTGAACCACCTCGATTTGAATTACGTCCGGACGAGTTACCTCGTCCGCTGACGTGGCTATCCATTGGCGTGGGACAGCCGGGAGCCTCGTGCCCAGCTGATTTTTGATGTTCTGGGTCTCGTCGAGCAATATGATGAGACCCACCCGCTGCGTTCGAAGAAGGGACGTCGGAAAACGACCTCCCCAAACGCGAGCACAGGGATTGAAAAGTATCAATCCCTTCGGCTGTCTCAGAAGAGATGCGCGCCATCCAGTAGGAAACATTAGGGAGGTAGGCCTTCCTAGGGGTACGGTTCGAGCTGTCCAGGCAACCTGGACACGAATCACCCCACGAGAGACAGGGTAATCCTGCTTCTCTTGACAGTCGGTGCAACTTGAATCGTACACCGACTGGGTTCTCCTCTTAAACCTGATGCGAGCTGCTTCAAGTTCACCAAGCCATGCCTCACAGCCTATTCTCTTAAAGTTATGGATGAAGGCATTTCATCATCGAAGGAAGGCCCTAACGTCTCGGCCACGGTTGCCATTTGTACCACTGATGTTGAGCGTAAACATTGGTGAAGAACTCTTTCTCAAAACGGATACTTTTCGTGCTGGAATTAGGAGGACAGGTCCTCGTACAGTTGAACAACGGGATTCGATCCCGTTCGGTGGTCATACCGGCCACTCGATCCATTTATTTGGATAATGGCATCCAAGGAGACTCCACTTGAGGAGCGTGGCGTAGGACATTTAGGTCCCTGGCCTCTTACGTGGTGTCAGCATGAGCACTGACACCACTTGCATCTCGATCCCTTGATTTGCTTCTCTCGTAGTGACGCATAGGTGCGTCACCACCATCACCGCCCAATCAAGTGTCAGATGGACTTGAGTGAGATGATGATTCATCAGACGAATCGCTCGGTCCGAATATCTCGGACATCTTGCCGCCACGTTCCTTGGAGCCAGTTTGGAGCCAGTCAGCCTGGCTCTGTCAGTGTCCGACCCGGATGATCTGGAGGAAGGAGGTGCCGCCTTCGAGTTGGATGCATTATCTGACTCTTCAGAAAAGGGTAGGTTTATTTCAAGACTATCTACATTGCAAGGCACAGCACCCGCTGCAGACGTAGCGGATGAAACTGTCGCTTGTAGTGACTTAGCAAGTGGACAAGTCGCAGCAGGCACTGCCCCACTGCCTTTTGCTCACTTAAACAGCAGACTAATCAGCACGTGCTGCTGAAGCTTTGAGAAGTGCTCTCTTTGGCTGCACGCATGCGTGCTATCTCCTATTAGGCTGCTTCAGCAGCACATGGCTTGTTTTTCAAAACCGTGTAATCAATTGGCAAATGAGTCGGAACTTGACCAACAAGTGCTCCTGTTCCCAGAGTGATCCAACAATGATCACCTTGTCCCCAACAAATGTGATTTAATAAACAGGTGATTGATATTGAAAGGGAGAGGGTGATGTAACAGGGTAGCCCGTTACATGATGTTGACACCAAACGGTGTCAACAGGGAGATTATCTAGAGTGACAATCTCCTGCCAATTTTATCTGAGATAGGCAATATTGAAGGAATAATGTCCCCTTATGATCTTGGTCACGTGCTGCTTTAAGATTGGTTGATAAAAGATATGTCAACCAAGATAACCATCAGTCGCTGCTAGATGCGTGCAATGGGTAGTGGGCAGGTTGTCGTCATACGACAACATAAATTAAAAAGGGTTGATAAAGACTGAATTATATTGACAGCTTAACTATTCTGGATACAGTTCTCTTTCCACATTTACTCACACTAACTGCTTAAGTAGATTAGCTTTATTTGCACGTACGAGTATACGTGAAGATTCGTGGCTGCCAAATTAGGGTTCCCCGTATTATCGTAGGCCTTTTCTTTGTTCATGAGTTGGAAGCGCACTGATATGGTAACGTTTGTTTTAACACCTTGCTCAACATATGACTGAATGCAATTTTGGCATAAGTCCGTTAGATTTATTGGTTTGGAGACTTTTGAATCAAAGCGTTTCTGCGTAACAAATGTCCAGATTCATTTTTGTCGCTTCACTATGGTCGCTAAAAGCCGGATGTTAGCTTTCGGTATTAGTCGACTTACTATCCTTGTCCAAAGGATGTAGCCTCAAGCAGGCGTTGCACTTCCTATTCAAGTCCGACAATCGAGTAGGGTAGCAGATAGTTGAGATAATCTTGCGTTGCGATCACTTCTGAGTATTAATTCATAAATTATGCGTCTGTAGTCGTCACCCATTTGCTTACGTATTTTAAGGCAATATGCATGCCAAAGCATAAGTAAAATATCCAAACCCTGCTAAGCTCTACTTCGCTGTTCATTCTTTGCAAAGGCATTGCAGCATTTTTTGTGGGGAATTTCGATGATTGACTACTCCAATCTCTGTTCTGAAAAATTCTTTGGTCTTTACTTTCACGAAACGCCGAACAAGAACCGGCTGCGGAAACACAGCAAGTTTGTGATCGACAAAGATGCCCTTCAGACTGTCGAACGACCGCAGCAGCATATATTTTCTTCGTAGATTTCAGTATCCAGCATATACGCTTCGACTGAGCAAAAGATGCACGAGGATTTGATGATGGATTACCGTACCATTTGCTTGCCATTGCAGCTTGAACTGCTAGGTGATCAGTTTTCAGCTTAGCGTGTGTGCGTCTTCAAAATTGTTTACTCTTGAATTATGCTGCTGTCAGTCTATATTTGTAGTAATAAGGTGTTTGATGCTACGTTGATTACCGTGTTGGCTCAACAGCAACGGGCAGCATGTTTTGATGAAGACCGGTTTGAATGATATACTGTTGCGCAAATTATTCCACCTAGCACGCAGAAGGTAAGTCCCCCTCCTTTTTTGCGCGTATTCTATTCTTTGCGACTAGTGTACCATTTGAATCCTACAACGTCGGGCGATTACTGTGATGTTTTGCGCACGTTCGTTGTACGGATAGTACATAACGTGGCGCCTTTGCTCGGTCACTCGAACGCATGCGAATGGACGAATGATACAGCTTTATAAATGGGTGAGGATCGATACAATAAGTACACCGGACCCTTCTTGAATAATTTTGCTGCTCTGGTTCAACATTGAAGTTGACGTTTGATGGCAAATTCGTTCTGCCTAATCAATGAACGCGTGATGTAACCTTGTTCACTGATAAAACTCATCCATACTATTTAACATCAGGACACCGCTATCCGTTGCTTTCATTGTAGTGCATTGATGTTCTTATTACGTTAACTAGCACCTTTCTAGTGACTCTTTGTAGTAGATTTTATTGGAGGGAACCCTCCATCGTACCAGCCATCGCGAAATGAAGAGGTTTGCAACCTCTTCATCGAGCTGACAACCTCTTCGTGTTGGGGTAGTTGGATGTAAAAGCCGAAGTGAATATATTTAAGGTCCTTAGTTCACTACCCTTAGCTAAGTCTAAGCCTTAATGTAACGACATCCTGTGATCTCATCATGTAACCGCGATCCATAACCTTCTTCCGTAATAACCACCATGAAACACCCTGACACAGAAATCATCACCATGAACCCAACATGAAACGACTGCATGAAGCGGCGTATTCTCAACACTCCCACTCGCCGCTACTGCTTGGTTTCTTTGCACTGGATACTGTTTGCATCGCGCAGGAACTTGAACGTCTTGGATCCTAGCGCCTTGGTCAGTATGTCGGCCAATTGATGTTTGGTGTCCACATACGCTACCGCAACCGTCCCGTCTTCGATCGTCTCTCTGATGAAGTGATGACGGATGTCCACATGCTTGGTCCGAGCATGATAACCAGCGTTTTGGGCCAAAGCAATCGCTCCTTGATTGTCCTCCCATATCTGGGTAGCGTTCATTTGTACCATTCCCATGTCCGTCAGTATCGCACGCGTCCATAGCACTTCCTGAAAGCATAGGCTTAAAGCCATATACTCAGCTTCCGCTGAGCTGAGGGCAACCGTTCGTTGGAACTTAGATTTGAACACCACCGGAGCGTTCCCAATCATGATCATAACCCCCGAGACAGAACGCCTGTCGTCGAGGTTGGAACCCCAGTCCGCATCCGAGTAGGCTTCAGCTGTGACGCTGCCAGTACCACCTTTGTAGATGATCCCGTGCTGGCGAGTCGTCTTTAAGTAGCGTAGAACACGTATAGCAGCGTTCCAATGCTGCGCCCCGGGATTCTCCAGGAAACGAGAAAGTTGCGTTACCACGAATGAAATGTCCGGGCGAGTACACGTCGTGATATACAGTAGGCATCCAATTAAGGAGCGGTACGGTATCGATTGCATCTTTCTTCGCTCTTCATCCGTTGCTGGCGATTGCGACTTTGACAACTTAAGACCAGTTGCACACGGGTTGTCAACCGACTTAGCGTTCTCTTGCCCGAACTGTTTCGCCACATCATCGATGTATCGCGTTTGCTTAATCATAAGCGTTCCAGCAGTCATGTTATGGTCGATCTCCATTCCCAGGATAAATTTCGCCGGTCCAAGCTCCTTCATCTTAAAGACACTCTTGAGTGCGTTTTTCACGTCATCAATTTCATCACTAGTCTTCGCCGCAATGATCATATCATCTACGTAAAGACAGACGTAAATGAAATTGCTCTTGGAACGCTTGACATAGACGCACTGGTCCGCACCACAGCTCTTGAATCCGTACCCAAGAAATACCCGATGAATGGTCTTGTTCCAGGCACTTGCAGCTTGCTTCAGTCCATAGATGGCCTTGTTCAGCTGGCACACATAGTTCTGAGCGTTCTCAACGCCAATTGGTACCTCCATGTAGACACGGTCCTCCAACTCACTGTTGAGGAACGCTGTGTCAGCGTCCAACTGTTCCATCTGGTACGCGAAAGCAGCGCAGACGGAGAGCACAACTCGAATCGAGTTCATGTTCGCCACAGGAGAGTACGTTTCAAAAAATCCACTCCGTACTTCTGCTTGAAACCCTTCGCCACCAACCGCGATTTGAAGCGCACCACGCGACCGTTCTGGTCACGCTTCTTGGCGAACACCCATCTGCACCCAATGGTACGGATGGCCGTTCCTCGTGGAACTAATGTCCAGGTATCGTTCCGTTTATGAGAGAGCAGTTCAGCATCCATGGCTTCACGCCACTGTGTTGAATCTTCACTGGCAATTGCCTGAGCGTATGTTGTAGGAAGATCCACTGTGTCAATGCTTGCTGCGTACGCGAGGACGGCTTCAGCAATAAGGCCGTCTTCATCGATCCTGGCACGCTTCGGATAGGACGGTCCATCTCTTCCTTCCGACTTCCGTTCTTCCTCTGCGTCCGTTCCCTCTTCAAGAAGGAAGACTGGTTCCCGGGAACTTCTAAAACGGTCTCTAGGGGTATGGAACACCACTTGATCGTCCTCGAAGATAGTCGGTGGTTCACGGTACGGTTCCAACTCAAATCCAGTGGGAGCTGACCGTTCTTGTGGCATCAGCAGCGGCGGTATAGCGTCCTGTATCGGTTGCATGCTCTCCATCTCTACATCCGGTGCGTCGTTCTCAACGCCTTCCATGGGTTCCGCTTCGACGGGTTGAAGTTCTACTGGTGCGAGCGTGACTTCATCATCGGCGTCTGTGCTAACATGAATAACTGTTTCGATCTGAGCAGGTAGTGTATCGTAAATACCATCTACCTCACGCTCGTCCAATTTCACCGAGCGAGAAACTTTGACCTTGGAAGCGTCCAAGTCATAGACACGGTAACCCTTGACGTTTTCTGGGTACCCGAACAGCAGACATCTAAAGCTCTTAGGTTCAAGCTTCGTCCTCTTCGCTTCGTCAATGTGAGCGTACCCGCGAGAACCAAATACGCGTAGGTGATCTAGCGTAGGTTTCACTTTGAAACCTAGCTCAAACGGTGTTACGGTTGCGTTGTGCGTGTTCGTGGAACGGTTGATTAGATATACCGCAGTACTAACTGCTTCAGCTCACCACTCCATTGGAACGCCCTTGTAGTATAGCATACTTCGAGATCTCTCCATGATAGTTCGGTTCATCCGTTCTGCCACTCCATTCTGCTGAGGGCTATACGGGACAGTCCGTTGGTGCACGATACCGTTCAGCATACATATCTTCGTCATCTCTTGGTTGACAAACTCCGTTCCGTTATCCGATCGTAAACACTTCATGCGCTCTCCCCATTGATTCTCATAGAAAGTCATGAACTCTCTAAGCTTAATGGCCACCTCGCTCTTCTTTTTCAAGAAATAGGCCACAACGTAGCGCGAGTAGTCGTCCACGAACGTCAGGACATACTTGGCACCACCTTTCGAAGGATTATTCATTGGTCCCATCATATCCGTGTGGACGAGCTCAAGAACGCGCGACGTCTTCGAGCTGGAACAATGCGGAAATTTAGCCACCGTTTGCTTCCCCTTCATGCATACGCCGCACAAAGACTGGGGCGGTCGACCAACAGCCGGAATACCGTTCGTGGCATGCCTTGTCTTATCCAGAGCATCCTGGTTGGGATGCCCCATGCGAGCGTGCCAAAGCTCCCACTTGCTGTCAGCCCCGGCGTACTGGACGAACCGATCTTCTTCTTGTTCACAGTCTAACATGTAAGCCTTGCCGACCTTCTTACCCTTCGCAATTGCGCTAGCCGCTCCCCATATAACACATGAGGAACGCTGAAACTCCACGTTCAGTCCACGATCCGCGAGCTTCCCCACTGACAACAGACGCCGATCGAGGCCCGGTATGTGAAGAACTTCAACCATCTTAATCCGTTTACCGTCCAGTCCAAGCAAGCGTACCGTACCACGTCCAGTGACCTGCAGCTTCTTTCCGTCAGCGATTGTTACTTCGATGCCACCATTCACGTTCTCATACTCGAACAGATCGGAACGGTGCGGGGTCATGTGGGCGGTCGCGCCGCTGTCGATCAACCATCCGTTTACACGTTCTGTGCTCACAACAAATACCGCATCGCCGTCTGTTGTTCCCTCTTGACAGTCCCGCTTCATGTGCCCAACTTTGTTGCACTTGAAACACTTGCCTTGGAAACCACTAGAGTTCTTCTTCTGATCGCTCCACTTGCGACCACTCCTCTTGTTGCCCTTGAAACGTCCAGCGTTGACCTTAAATGCTCGTTCCGAAGTCGTGTCTTTCTTCTCCAACCGTTCACACTCCTTCAACAGCTTCTCTTTCACCTCGATGAGCGTGATGTCCTTGACGTTCTCGATGATCGACGATATCAGCTCGTATTCGGCTGGAAGGCTGCTCAGCAGCACTACTAGCTGCCGTGCCTCGTCGACGGGCTCTCCAAGCGTCTGAAGACCGACAACGAGCTCGTCGAAAGCGTCCAAATGCTTTGCCATGGCCGTTCCAGCATCCATCTTGAATTCATGGAGGCGCCGTGTCATCGTGACCCGATTGTGGAGTGTAGTGCGATTGTAGAACTCCCTAAGTGTTACCCACGCTTGAATAGCACGCGTCGACGAACGGATCTTTGTCTGGTGTTGTAGTTCCACACCCTGCGCGATGATGCCGAGAGCCTTTGCGTCATTTACTAACCAAGCTTCCGTTATCTCACTCTCCGCCTTGACCACCTCCACGTGCGCCAGCAGTCCTTTTCTGGCGAGCGACATCCTCATATTGAACTCCCAATGGAAATAATTTCCACTTCCTAGGAGGACTTCGGCGCGCTTGGTACTCATCATGTGCGAGGCGAGGCGTTCTTGGTCTTGACGCCGCTGTCCGAGTTGCGGCTGTTAACCTGTTGGGGTAGTTGGATGTAAAAGCCGAAGTGAATATGTTTAAGGTCCTTAGTTCACTACCCTTAGCTAAGTCTAAGCCTTAATGTAACGACATCCTGTGATCTCATCATGTAACCGCGATCCATAACCTTCTTCCGTAATAACCACCATGAAACACCCTGACACAGAAATCATCACCATGAACCCAACATGAAACGACTGCACGAAGCGGCGTATTCTCAACACTTCTCCTCTTCTTCACTATCGGATTCTACGGCTCCTCGCGTTACATCGATATTAATCTGCCCAAACGGCTCCAACTCTCCGTGAATCTTAACAAAATCATCACTTTCTGCTCCATCTCTATTCTCCGTTGCATACACACTCTTCACGGGAGCCAATGAACCTTCGCAAATATGAAACAGCTGCTCTGTATTTCCATCTTCCATGCTCTGTCCCTCAGCATCAATGAGTCTTTGCTGTAGCGATTTCCATCCTGCTAACGGAAGCTGCAGTCTTGCACGTTCTGGCCTCAGTCGACGCTCTCGACGTGCAACTGCATGAAGATAAACACAAGCAGAAAAAACATAGTACTTGTCAGTCAACTGTCAAGAAAAACTAGGCCAAAACGCATCAACCCATTTATGTGTTCAACTCATTTTTTACCTCGCTGCTCAATGCTCCGACACTTTGAGAGACGACGAACACCCCAAGTTGCAAACACCAGCAACAAAGCCACGTTAAGACCGGCAATGACCGAGATTGTCACGCGTATTGGCATGGACAGTCCCGTACTTTCTTCTCCTCCTGAGAATGGGATTTCACCGTCGTCGTGCGTACCTGAGCACTGGTTAGTGACCACGACGTCGTGCCAATTGGGCACTTCACAACTGGCAATGCACACGCAGCCATTGCGTCCCGTACAGTATGGTGGGAGAAGAGTACTCATTCATTGGGATCGTTTGGACCCTCTTGTCGCTTCCGTTGCGTGCGACACGATGCACAGACGGAATCATTTGCGTGACAGTAGCGATAGTAACATGATGAAAAGTAGCGATGGTAAAGGCACGTAGTAGAAACGTTCGGCAAGAAACGAGTCGTACGTGCTTTGGCTGGCACAGCCACCAGAGGGATTGACCGTGCAATTGTCATTTGGTAGCTGTACGTTCAGACAATCATAACACGTGCGTGGCTCAAGGCACTAGATGTTGTAGTACCAGGTGCACGAATCACGATTGGTCGTGGCGTTTCGATGGACGCTGCTGATGTTGTTGCGGTTAAATCTAGTGTCGTCATTGAGAATAGTGTCGTCATTGAGAATAGTGTTGTTATTTTTGTTGTTATCGTTGTTGTTGTTATCGTTGTTGTTGTTGTTGTTGTTGTTGTTGTTGTTGTTGTTGTTATTTTTGTTGTTATCTTTATTGTTGTTGTCGTTGGTAAGGGCAGTAGGGAATGGAGTCGAGGCCATGGATACGTTTATGTGTTGAGGTACGGATCAATTTCGGAAGTGAGCTCTTGAGACCCAATTATCAGAATTATCAACAGATGGTAGAGGACGAGTGCTTGACACGCTCGTGGCTTGCAGAGATACATTCCCGTTGGTTGACTTCGTGTTAAAATGAGAAGTGAATATTTGTTGTTAAAACTGCTCCGTCAATGCATCTCTAGTCATCGTGTTCTCCTACGCTACTCACCTTGAAGGTCGACAGGTGTCGCCAGATTGATGACCAATGCCCTGGCGACACAGTTTTGCAAACGAGCAGACAGTAGTAATCAGAAACTTCGAAAATCTTGTCAAGCTGTCGACTTAAAGGTTCCGGTTGAATGATCAGTTTGGGTGATACTACTAGTGATCGGAGGGGTGCAATCAGAATACAAATGTCGAGATGCTTGGCGGTAGTCATCGGTGAGGTCCGTCGATTAGAGCCGGGGTGTTTCGAGACTCACAGACAGGCTCAGGTACCTTCGATAGGGCAAGATTGGTGTTTTGCGTCTTTCAAGCTTGTCCGTTAACGAGATATTCATGAAAACGTGTACATATTATCTGACTCCCAGTAATTCAAGTGATGTGGCGAACAAGGAACAGTCACAACCGCGCACATCAGCAGCACCAAAATTGATCAATTCCGAGCTTCTGCTCGATGTGGTCTGTCTTCCTTTCAGTATGCGAAGCTAGACCACTTTTATCGCGAGCCATAGGATGAAGGCATTCGCACTGTGCGCAATAAATGCCGAGCGTTCAGTTTTACTTTCTGCCTGTCTGTAAAAAATGCTAGGTGACCTTACACGTCGTACTAAGTGCGATGTAGCCTGCCTCCTTGTTGTAGGTAGATAAACATCATACGGGTGTCACTCTTTTGTGAGTCACTGATTGCGACCGTTTAGGGGAGTATAGTCAGGTGCACCAATGTCCGCACATAATTGGCCTAAGTCGACCAAGAGCAATTGGGGGCCAGATATAAGATAGGGGCGCAAGCTCTGGAGCTCGTCCTTTGATGATAGCAATTTCGTCTGAGGAAATGAACTAGATTCTGTGTATTAAACTTCCATTTCCAGATGTTGGCGACCAGGAAATGGGTCGTGTGTTGTGTATTTAAACGATGAAACAGTCAATGAATTTTTGTGAGCTTAAGGTACTTCTTTATGCTGTTGATGTGTTCAAAAAACAGATGTTGGAAAGATCAAACAAAGGACGACCCTGCTCGACTACGCTGTCGGCCGCAAAATGCGGTCGACGACACATACTTTTCCGAGATAAAGAGAAACTAAAGGGAAGGATCTTCCACTGCTACCGATAAAAACCGTGACCTTGACCTCTTACTATTGCAAGTTTTCCAGATCAAAACCACTCACACTTACTGTCTGCGAAATGCGCGACTACCGCGCTGCCCCTGGTTGTCTGTCTAGAATTTGCTTCTTAGTACTCTGTCCGCCCTTTCCATCACTGTAAGCCAAACATGCGCGAGTGTAAAGATTACACCCTTGCAGTCACAAATCAGTGACCTCATCAAAGCGTGATACCTAAATAGAGGACACAGACTACGTCGCACTTAGAACGACGTGAAAGGTACACCGGGCGTTATTTGCACACCGGCAGACAAGCGCAGATAAGTACGATTTAAAAGGCTCGGCATCCACCTTGCGCACAGTCACGAAAAGCTCTACCCTTCGGGCTCGCATCAAGCGGGATGTACCGATATTCGCAGTGTTCGAGGTACGAGAGAGAAAGGGTGCTCCAATTGCACAATCAAAGGTCAAGCGTATGTGCATGATCTCTGGAATCCCTTAAGCCAGTATGTTTAACCGAGAGGTCTGGGAGCTGGTGGTGGCTTTTTCAGCGGAAGGTGGGGACTCTCTAAAGTTCTCGATTTACCAACTCGACGCATTTCACATAGTCTGGCACCATCAATAGTTATCACTGCGTTCCATGCTCCCTCTTTGCGATTGCTTGGATGTGGCGCAACGAGAAACCCAAAACTATTTGTGATCCCGTGAATGTCGAACGTGACTGTCGTAGACAGATGCATTCCTGCCAACCCAGGTCTTCGTCAGGTAATGTTCCACCTTTGGGTCCATACACACCCGATCGCTGCCACAACGTCTTAAAACCGATCCGCTAGTGTCTCAGTTATGTGCGAAAGGATACCGCACGGTCTCCACGTACTCTCGACATGCTAGTGCCTTTGTGCAACTGTTGTTCTATTCTTTGCTGCATGGTACATGTCGTGTTGCCGCGTCGTGACCCTGTTTCCTGTCCTCTGCTCAACGAATCTGCGCCATTGTATAGGAACAGTCAATGCAATTTAGCGCGGGAATGTACTATTTGGCAAAAGCGTCACTACAAGCCAAAGGTCGGTACTTGCATCCCAGCCGCTATACTTCAGCAACGTGCTAAGTTCATGGCTCGAAAAAATAAGCTACGCCCCGCAAACGCTTCGCGACACAACGCAACTTAGCCTTTTTCGTGAGGCGGCGTGCCGAGCCAACTCGTCGCCCATTGCAAATGTCCGGATGCCACGAGCCTCCCCGTGTGAGCCCCTTGTCGATCTCATGCGCGGACGTCGTCTTAATGAAGATTCTATGCACAAAGGACGGCCAGTGGTGATTGCGCGCATGGCTGTAAAACAGGCACATGCTACGCATTTCAGCAGGGAACTACTTACTACTTACGCCTCCAAAGAGAAAAACAGAGAGATATGGAACGGGCGCAGAAGCACGCAAAAACAACCAGCGTTGTGCACATGAAGTTATGGTGCAAACTCCTGTGTGCTCGACTTTGGGAGAAATGTGTGGAGACAGACACGGAACGCGCAGGTGATTGAGTCGTGATTAAAGCACGATATCAAAAGAGATCGCTCGATTCGCAGCGTGATGCCTCAGCAGATGACTATCGTGCAAGCGCTAGGCTTTCAAACTCGTCCTGACGCCGTGCCTGATTCGATTGACTATTCACATCACTCGTTTGACTGACTCACTGCTATAGCCACTAGTTACCAATTGTACATGTCTCCAGCGCGTATTCTTCCGTGCTTGTTGTTATCTCTACACGGACTCCATTGTGGTAAGTCTACGGCTGCAGTGCACCATGTAATAGGGACAGCAATAACAGTGAGAGGCAGTGTACTTGGTCCTGTAAAGACTGGACTTGCATGACTTGGCTCATCAACCTTGAGCAAGGAGTTGCCTCGGTTGTAGCTAGCGCTTGATTGGTATAAACGTAGCTGTCAATATATGTGAGAACTATCAAGCGAGCTATTTGGAGTTCGAGAAGAGTGCTTAGGCAGCTGAACTGGCTGCCATCAAACCAAGGACGTCCATCAGAGCAATCGTACATTTAGCTGTAACTTAAAGTCGGTATTTCTGCTAATTGCTGCATGGTAAAATAGCATAGAGGGACGATGTCACTGCACGAGGGAGTTCTCTCTGCTATTGTAGTTGCACCTGTTGACTCCAATTCGACTATACGCACTGTAGGCTCGTTTCGTAAATTGCCATGATCTCAAGGTCGAGATTATCGGCTCATATCACAATTAGGTATGCCGTTGTGTGATCGTCAAGTAGTTTTAAGCTGACCGACCGATAATGGGCATCTCATCGGTCAGCTTAAAACTGCTTGACAAATGTAAGTGACAACAACGATAGCTACTACATTTACAATTAGATCATAAAAGCCAACCATAACAAGCTCTTTTATTACGAACCAAGAGGCAGCGAAGTGAGAGCAAAGTGAAAAGATGTGTGACGTTGCTGCCACCACGTAATATTACTTCCTAGAAGGAGAGCACAGATATAATGGACATGGTGGCGTGATACGAAATTGACATGACATCGACCGAGATGACAACCACGTTTGAAATGCATGAACAATATGAATTTTATTGACGTGTTATCGCACTCTGCTACAGCCGTAACGTGGTCGTGATGCCTCCACCTGTAGAGCATGCAATGGGTTGTCGGATATACCCAGCCGTTACTTTCGTAACGAGAAGAAAAACAGTCAAAGCAACAGCACACACCATGAGTCACTCCATCAATCACAACGCTAACGTCGCAGGTCAAGCAGAATCAACACACCCACCGTCGTCACCTTCTTCCCTCGCAGTAGCGTCGCGCCCGGATGCACTCTTCTTCAGCCTTCAACTGCCAGCAATCGTCGCGCACGAACGTTCGAGCTCACCTTGCGCCACAAGACCACACCTTCCTACTAGCACGACCGTGTACGCCATCCGGACGCTTGTTGAATCCGCAGCTCCTTGCCCAGCGACTACAGATGATCAAGCGACATACTAGCGTCCTTTCACGGAGCCCACCGCCTTGATCGCGCGTACGACTTCTTTCTCGGACACCGATGGGTCAATGGCGCGTAGCGTTTGCTCTACCTCGACAGCGGTCCGGCCTATGGCC